AGGTGTGTGGGTTACACTAGGATCACTGAATTTGGTGCCCAGAAGAAGGGGACCTTTGCATTGCTGAAGTTAAGAACCTGAGAGGAAAAGGACACTGCCCTACCTGCTTGGGGCAGGATTTTTACTCATGGTTTTGCTCATTCGCTCTGCTCGACCTGCTGTGCTCAAGGTGACAGAGACAGTTGCCCTGGACCCTCCCTGCCCAGCTCCCAGCCCCCGCCACCCGGCCGCTCACTTGCTGCCCTGACTGGGAGCTATGTGGCTGTGAGGCTCAGCCACGAGGCTTTGGGCCCCGCAAACTCTTTGGCCGGGCCAGCTCACAGCTCTGTAAGTAGGGGAGCCAAAGAAACGAAAAGGCTGCTCCCTGCCCTGTAATGACAGAATCCAGAATCCAAATCATGTAGCTCAGTCTTCTCCACCTTCTGAAATCAATTGTCTCCAGCACGTTCCAAGGTGTGTGAGTAGGGTGCAGAGCAGGACACTTCTAAGACACAAGAATGAAATCATGGTCTGAAAAAAATTGACTTTTATTCACAATCAAAAAAACTCATGGTTGGTTGCTAGATGTTACAGAACAACTGAATAAAAGAAATATTAAAAACACAGAATATTGCTTCCCTGGGATTTAGTTTAAACGTTACAGTGTATGGGAGGAGGGTGACATATGCTCACCATGCAGAACTCCAATAAACCAAAACAATAAAGACAATAAACAAAATAACCTGATTGCATCTGGCTAAACATTCCAGCTACGTCTAGACTGGAATGATTTTCCTCAAATGCTTTTCACGGAAAAGTTTTTCCGTGAAAAGCATTTGCGGAAAAGAGCATCTAGATTGGCACAGATGCTTTTGCGCAAAAGGACTTTTTGCAGAAAAGAGTCCATGCCAATCTAGACGCGGTTTTGCACAAGAAAGCCCCGATCGCCATTTTCGCCATTGGGGCTTTTTTGCACAAAACACTTTTTAGCTTCCTACACTGGCCCTTTTGCGCAAAAGCATTTCCGGAAAAGGGCTTTTGCCCGAACAGGAACGTCAAAGCATTTGTGAAAGCAGCACTGATTTTGGACAATAGAATGTCAGTGCTTTTGCACAAAATCAAGCGGCCAGTGTAGACAGCTGGCAAGTTTGCTTTTGCGGAAAAACTTGCCAGTCTAGACGCAGCTTCCCTGTTCTACTCACATCTCTTGTTCCAAGGGGTAGTTTGTCCTTGGGCATGGACATTGCTGGATATTTCAAGCCAGTTCCTGGCTTAATTCATGTCCTCTAGCCCTTCTCTGTTCACACGGGCTGTGTCTACACTGGGCCACTTATTCCGGAAAAGCAGCCGCTTTTCCGGAATAAGCTGCGAGCTGTCTACAGTGGCCCCTTGAATTTCTGGAAAAGCACTGACGATCTTCCGTAAGAAATCAGCTGCTTTTCCAGAAAAACTATGCTGCTCCCGCTCGGGCAAAAGTCCCTTTTCCGGAAAACTGTTCCAGAAAAGGGCCAGTGTAGACAGCCCAGTAGTCTTTTCCGCAAAAAAGCCCCGATCGCGAAAATGACGTTTGGGGATTTTTCCGGAAAAGCACGTCAACATTGGCCACGGACGCTTTTCTGGAAAAAGTGCTCTTCTGGAAAAGCATCCTGCCAATGTAGACGCTCTTTTTCCAGAAATACTTATAATGGAAAACTGTTCCGTTCTAAGCATTTCCGGAAAAAGGTGCCAGTGTAGACGTAGCCACAGAGTAAAGCAGGAAGGTTCCTGTTTCCCCTTCAGAAAACCACACTCTGCTTCCATTGGCTCTCCTGGCTTCTGTGTTTCCTGCTTCCCAAACATTCAGAGACAATCTAAGACCCGCTGTCTGGAGTTTAACCCCTAGGGGCAATTGAGCTGGCTGAAGGGCTGTGATGTCCAGGGTATGTCTACACTACAAAGTTAATTCAAACTAACAACTGTTAGTTCGAACTAACTTTCATAGCATCTATACATACAAACCGCTAGTTTGAACTTAATTGGAACTAGCGGAGCGCTTAATTCGAACTAGGTAAACCTCATTCCACAAGGACTAACGCCTAGTTCGAATTAAGTAGTTCGAATTAAGGGCTCTTTAGCCACTTAATTCGAACTAGTGGGAGGCTAGCCCTTCCCAGATTGCCCTAGTGGCCACTCTGGGCCCAAACAGGGAAACTTTTCTGCCCCCCTCCCGGCCTTCTGGCTACAGTGCTTCTGCCAGGTGCAAGCCTGCCAGCACCCAGCCAGCAGACCCTGCACCTGGCACGGCATGAGCCAGCCACCCGCTGCCACCCAGCCCTCCCCCTCTTCCCTGGACCAGGAGCCTGCCCGGGGCTGTAAGAAGCGGGCGCCCTCATGGTCTAGTGCAGAGATCATGGACCTCATCGAGGTTTGGGGGGAGGCCTCCAATGTCCACGACCTCCACTCTAGGCACAGGAATGCGTCCGTCTAGGGCAGGATAGCTGCCAGCCTGGACACCAAAGGCCACATGTGAACCCAGGAGCAGATTTGCATAAAAATCAAATTGGTCCAGTGAGACCCCGACCCTGAGCCCTGAGCTTAGAACATAAGAACATCAGAACGGCCGTCCTGGGTCAGACCAAACATCCATCTAGCCCAGTAGCCTGTCTGCCGACAGCGGCCAACACCAGGTGCCCTGGAGGGGATGGACCGAAGACTATGACCAAGTCATTTGTCTCGTGTCATCCATCTCCAGCCTTCCACAAACAGAGGCCAGGGACACCGTTCCTAGCCCCTAGCTAATAGCACTCCATGGACCCAACCTACATGAATTTATCTAACTTCTCTTTAAACTCTGTTATAGTTCTAGCCTTCACAGCCTCCTTTGGCAAGGAATTCCACAGGTTGACTATATGCTGTGTGAAGAAGAACTTTCGCTTATTAGTTTTAAACCTGCTGTCCATTCATTTCATTTGGTGTCCTCTAGTCTTTCTATTATGGGAACTAATGAAGAACTTTTCTTTATTCACCCTCTCCACATCACTCATGATTTTATAGACCTCTACCATGTCACCCCTCGGTCTCCTCTTTTCTAAGCTGAAAAGTCCCAGTCCCTTTAGCTTCTCTTCATATGGGACCTGTTCCAAATCCCTAATCATTTTAGTTGCCCTTTTCTGAACCCTTTCCGAGGCCAAAATATCTTTTTTGAAGTGAGGAGATCACATCTGTACACAGTACTGAAGATATGGCGTACCATAGTTTTATATTTCCTCTCCTCCTTCTTACCCTGGCTTCCCCCTTCCCCAGTTTTGTTCAATAAAGAGAGTTTCTATTTCTGAACACATGTGTCCTTTATTTTGTACATCAGGAAGGGGGGCTAGGGAGGGGTAAATGGAAGGAGGTGAGGGAGGAATGGGGTACGAACCCCCGATGGGGAGGACTGGGGTGGCTCTGCAGGCTCCTCGGGATGGAAGCTTTCCTGTAGGGCCTCCTGGATCCTGACAGCCCCCCGATTCACCCCCCCGGATGGCAGCCTGCAGCAAGTGCAGCCGGGCTGATGGCCGAGTGCTGTGATGTGCCGAGTGCGGACACTCAGGGCACTCCAAGCCAGGACTGCTTTGCTGTCCCTCGCGAGGTAGACAAGCAAGCGGGGAACCCCTGAGAACTGTCTGTCCGGGGTGGGGGTCGGGTCCCTTTAAGCACAGCCCTCGGCTAGCCTGAGACAGCATCTCCACGCTCTAAGTCCTAATCTGATGCCCTGCCGGCACTGCTTCCGGCCAGCCTTAACTTCGGTTCAGGGTCCACTCAGTGTGGACATGCTAGTTCGAATTAGCAAAACGCTAATTCGAATTAGTTTTTAGTTCCAGATGCACTAGTTCGAATTAGCTTAGTTCAAATTAACTAATTTGAATTAAGTTAGTTTGAATTAGTGCTGTAGTGTAGACAGACCCTCAGTGACTAGTCGCCAAGAGGCTCAAGGATCCAGCCCCATGTTCTCGGTGTCCCCCAAAACTCTGAATACCGGAAGCCAGGAGGGGAGGGGAGGAGATGGATCAACCCACAGCTTCCCTGTTCTGTTCTCCCCCCCTGTATCTGTGGCACAGGCCGCTGCTGGAGCCAGGAGCCAGGACGAGATGAACCATTGGTCTGACCCAGCTCAGCCCGTTCTCGGTGCTCCTGGGATATTTCGTCTCCTCCAAGGCCCTGCAGGAATCAGCCTGTTCCCTCATTGGTAAAACTTCCCTCTAGTGCAGCACAAACATGGCTCTCACCCAGATCTTGCACAAAAGGGATTTTTTGCGCAAAAAGGCCCCATCTACACTACTTGTTTTTACGCAAAAACCTCTTGCACAAAAAGCATCGGCAGCAATATATAAATGAACAAATGCTAATGACTGAGCACTTCATTAGCATACTCTCTGCGGACAAACATGTAGGCTGTGTCTAGACTGGCAAGTTTTTCCGCAAAATCATATGATTTTGCAGAAAAACTTGCCAGCTGTCTACACTGGCCGCTTGAATTTCCGGAAAAGCACTGACGATCTCATGTAAGATTGTCAGTGCTTTTCCGGAAATACTATGCTGTTCCTGTTCGGGCAAAAGCCTTTTTCCGAAAGACTTTTGCGCAAAAGGGCCAGTGTAGACAGCACAGTACTGTTTTCCGCAAAAAAGCCCCGATGGCGAAAATGGCGATCGGGGCTTTTTTTGCAGAAAAGCGCTTCTAGATTGGCCACAGACGCTTTTCCGCAAAAAGTTCTTTTTCGGAAAAGCGTCCTGCCAATCTAGACGCGCTTCTCCAAAAATGCTTTTAACAGAAAACTTTTCCGTTAAAAGCATTTTCGGAAAATCATGCCAGTGTAGACGTAGCCGTACAGTGTAGATGTAGCCAGTGAGAGAGGGTGGCTGAGGCAATATCTTTTATTGCACCTATTTGTGTTTGTGAGAGCGCCAAGCTTTCAAGTGAACACGGTGGACATCCATAGTGAAGAGTTAAAATGCCTTTACAGTTCACATGAAATCTTGACTTTGATTTTCTGCTGCCTCCTTTAGCTCGGTAGGAAGCATTTGCTGCCCCAACCATAAAACAACTTGATCACCGCTTTCAGGATCTTATTTGTGTTCACCCCATAAATGATGGGGTTTAACATGGGGGGAAAGAGCATGTGGCTGTTGGCCAGGAGGCTGAGAATAAAACCAGGGATGATATGGGCATATTGGTGGGCAAAATGGGAAAAAATAGTCGACATGTAGAATGTCAGGATGACACAGAGGTGGGAGCTGCAGGTGTGAAGAGCCTTCAGCCGGGAGCCCTTGAAAGGCAGCCGGAAGATGGCCTGGAGGATCATCACATAAGACACAGCAATGACAGCAGCATCCACACCGAATGTTAAAATAGCCACTGCTACACCGTACCAGAAGTTGGGTGTAATGTCGTCGCAGGCCAGTCGGGCAACGGCCCATTCCAGACAATAGATGTGAGGCAGGAGGTTGTTTCGACAGAACTTCAGCCGTGTCACGAGAAAGACGTAAGGGAAAAAGACGCCGACGCTCCTTGTGAGAACCGCCAGCCCGATCTTCCCGATCACAGGCTTGGTGAGCAGGGGGGTGTATCTCAGGGGGTTGCAGATGGCAACGTACCGATCAAACGCCATGGCCACCAGGATGCCCGACTCAGAGAAAAGACTGACAGAGATGAAGAATATCTGGGTGAGGCAGGCAGCAAAAGAAATTTCCCCTGCACCGAACCAGAACACGGCCAGCATCTTGGGCACTGTGGTGGTGGATAACAGCAGGTCAGCAGCAGCCAGCATGGAGAGGAAAAGGTACATGGGCTCATGGAGGCTTCGTTCTGTCGCTATGATGTAGAGGAGGAGAGAGTTCCCCAGAAGCGCCGCAACGTACATCAGACAGAAGGGGGTGGCGAGCCAGATGTGAGACTCCTGTGTACCCGGGTTTCCAATCAGGATGAAGATAACAGAGCCAAAAACACTGTGATTGTCGGCTGGCATCATGCACCATCCCTTGGAGCTTCTTATTCCGCTTCTAGGAGCTAAAAGCAAGAGAGAAAATCAGTGAGAACTGGAGGGGCAGCCGGGGCCGGACTGTTTGGGGACAGAATCAGAGATCCCAGCAAACCTCCCTGGTGTGACTATGGACCACACACAGTCTTGTGCTATGGAACATCCCCATCCCCACAGAGGGCAGATGGGGGGGGTGTGTCTGGCCCTGGAGTTGGTGTCCACAGCAGAATCGCCGGGAGCTCCTTGCTCCCAGTGCAGCCACATAGCACACCCACAGGGCAACACAACAAAGTTCTATTGTTTTACATTCCTCTTGTTCTCAGTAGCCCACCTTAATGCAGAGATTACACTGCTCTACAGCCAAAATGCTTCTGAAATAAATGTAGTCAAACGTTACTAATTCTGGGTCACTGAGAACGAAAATGAGGCTTAAAATTGTTGATTAGCTCTTGTTTTCAAGATACGCTATTGGGTCAGTATATACAACCTTGACTTGCGAATGGCGGAGGACAAGTGAGTTATAAAGGGAAGGGATCTCAATTTAAACCAGAAATGACTAAAATACAGCTGTGACTGGATCTATGAATAAATCTATGACTGGGTTTGGACAGTACTTGCTTTTTAGGCAAAACAATGAATGATGCAATCTGAAGCTGGTATTGCATCATACATGATATGAATTGCATCATGTTAGTCCTAGAAGCCATGGATGATGCAATCATAATGAAGCTTACATCACTGTGCTGAACAAATTGCCCTATGTCAGCTCTAGAAATCATACAGTGTCGTTCTCTCTTATTTGTCAGTGTTTGATTTTGCAAAGGGACACATTTCTGTTTAGGCAAAGTGAGCAGAGATGCCTCGTACTTGTGTGAACAGTGCAGATAACTTCTGCTATGTTTGTGGTGAAGTGACTTTTGCATCACAAAAGCGCAGTATAACCACTATGGTTAAGAAAGCCTACCACCTTTATTTTGGCTGCAAAATTCGAGATCAGGACAAGAGGTGGGCCCCACACATATGCTGCAACAAATCTTCGCGTCTGCCGGTTCCTGATGCACCAGAATCATTCTCACTTGAGTCAGATGAGGAAGAGGACATGAAGTTATCCCCAACATTCTCCAAAAACTTCCTGGACTGCCGTATTGGTCTCCCAACAGATGGCAGAGCAGTTAAAGTCCCCCATGAGAACTAAGGCCTGTGATCTGGAAGCTTCACTTACTTTTGCAATTGTTGTACAGACATTCATCTCCATCTGAGGTGCCTTAATATTTTGTACTAAATGTGCTGATTTACTGCTTAATATTCACAGTTGTCCTCAAGCAGGTGCATTGTTTTTCCCTGATGAGCACTCTGCTTTACCCAGCGTTCCTAGCGTAGCTTTTACCGAGCTTTTCCTTGTTAGTTTGGTATGATCCCAACTTTGAAAATCTTTTAGAAGCACAAAGTTTAACAGCCACAACTTCCCTTTCACATCACACAGAAGTGCATAACGATGAGCCAAAATACATTTAAATTGGAAGTTCCTGAAAAAAAAACCCACCCTGGAATGGTGTCGGGGGGAGAGTCAGAGCGAGGAGAGGGCGATGAAAAACAACTTAAAAAAGATGGCAACAAGAACGGAGCCAAGAGAGATGAACTCTAGATGGTTATCTTACAGTACAGGCAACGCCAGCAAGTTCAGCCAACTGAGAAAGACCAGGCAGGTAATCTGAACTAGTCTGCAGAAATATTCAAGGAAGGCGTCTCGGAGGGTTCACTGTGTTAGTCCGTATCTGCAAAACCAGTTGGGATCCTGCTCTCCCCAGCTTTTGAGGTTCTAAAAGGACAATAGGCAGTGTTACTTGCTGGCTACGTCTACACTGGCATGATTTTCCGGAAATGCTTTTAACGGAAAAGTTTTCCGTTAACAGCATTTTTGGAAAAGTGCATCTAGATCGGCAGGAAGCTTTTCCGCCAAAGAACTTTTTGCAGAAAAGCGTCCATGGCCAATCTAAACGCGCTTTTCTGCAAAAAAGCCCCAATCTCCATTTTCGCCATCGGGGCTTTTTTGCGGAAAACAAATCTCTGCTGTCTACACTGGCCCTTTTGCGCAAAAGTTTTTCGGAAAAAGACTTTTTCCCAAACGGGAGCAGCATAGTATTTCCGCAAAAGCACTGACAATCTTACATGAGATCGTCAGTGCTTTTGCGGAAATTCAAGCGGCCAGTGTAGACAGCTGGCAAGTTTTTCCGCAAAAGCAGATGATTTTGCGGAAAAACTTGCCAGTCTAGACACAGCCGCTCTGACCCTGAATTTGTTCCTCAATGCCTATTGAGTTATGGACTGTGCCTGGCCCTTTTTGCCTGCCGTGAAGTCTTACTGGGTAATTCCATGTGTTAATGCAGCAATGCTATTTCATTTCAGTTTTTCACTTTGAAATTCTCTCCCCTGTGATGGAGTTACTGCTCCTGCCTCTTACCATGCTCCTGAGAATGTCCCATTTATTCCTGGTTTTGCTGTGTCCGTTCAGTTGTTTGCTGCCTTTTTCTTCCATGCCCTGTTCTGACAGTACCTATCTAGCTTCAAGTGAAGTTTGAACAGAAGTGGCTTTTTATCCGATTTTTGCACTTGCACTGCAGTGGATCATGTTTCAAATTTCAGTTTTGTTGGGGCCAAGTTTTCCTATTTCTGTCCCCATTCCCCAGGCACAGGATGGCTACCTGCAGCCTGCTGGTGACCACAGATATTTATAATAGAGGACAAAACATCTTTTTTTTAATCAATTCTGAGGGTTTTGCCAGTGTTTTATTCCCGTGCTTGCTGTCTGAGCCAGGAGAGCAGGAGCATCGCAGGGGTCAGGTTCTGTCTGTCTGTCTGTATGTTGTGTTAAGCATTTCACAGGCAGGGTTGTAATTTAGAGTAGTCAACAGTACCAAGCTACATTCACTGCCCTAGCCTTGCAAATTCCATGCCATGATTCTTCCTCATTTTATTTTTTAATTTTATCTGCACCTCTTCTGCAGGCAATCTGGTATGTCCATACTGTATCAAACTCTGAGAGGATTAATAGGGAAAGCTTATGGGGGGTTCCTAATACGTAGATTTCTGCTGTTACACCACTATTCCTAACTACAACCACATTCCTCACTCCAAGTCCAGGCTGAACATTCCCAGGCCCATCAGAAGAGACCAGAAACAGCTGGATGCTGGTTGAGCATCTGTTCCCCACCTAGCCCAGGGACAGGCCGACCCGCCGAGAGACACGGGCAGGGCGGGAGGGA